TTGGCCATTGCGTTCCTAGAAATCAACACATATGTCTGTGATTGGCTACATCGCTCAACGCTGCAGACATGTTATGAATCGAAACTCTGGCCTGTAAATCGTTTCTATTTTGTTTTAGTTGTTCTTATTGCTTTTCTGCAACAGATGAATAAAATGTATTAGTTTTTATGTTTTATTCATAGATATTTCTAGTTTGCGGGAGTCCCGCGAATCGTTATATTCTCCCTCAACCCAAACACACAGAGTGAGTGCATTACCCCTCATTCTTAAATATATTTAAAAAATCACAATAATTGAAAAAATATTTTTTTCCACAAGTCATTTCAAGTAAATAGGCACAAGTCCGAGTCAAGTCTTAAGTCACAAGGAGCAAGTCTAAAGTCAAGTCGAGTCTTTTCAGAGATCTAGTCAAGTAAGTCTCAAGTACAGAAAATTGCGACTCGAGTCAAGTCATATGACTCGAGTCTCCCACCTCTGATGAATACACATATGCATGTATATATATAATAAATATTTGAATGTATATACTGTATATATATTTACGGAAGCGTATTGCATTCACTTGAGGAAAAAAAATCTACTCTGTTTTTCTGAATTAACGAGTTAATTCTCTCAGAATTACAAGATAATTTTTCATGGGAAAAAGTTTTTGCTCTGTTTTTCTGAATTAATGACTTAATTTTCTCAAAATTATGAGTAACTCATTAATTCATAAAAACAGAGTGAAAAAAATGTTTTTCAAGACAAATTTCTCTCGTAATTCTGAGATAATTAACTCGTTAATTCAGAAAAACAGAGTAGATTTTTTTTCCTCAAGTGAATGCAATACGCTTCCGTATATATTTATACCTAATTTATATAAAAATAAATATTTGATATATAAATAAGACATTTTTCTTAAATATATACATGCATATGTGTATTTATATATACAAAATAAGTACACACATATATTATGTAAACACAAACTTTTATTTTGGTTGTGATTAATCGTTGCCCAGCACTAATTAAAATGCTTCCAAAAACCAAGATAAGGTGCAAAAATGTTGTTTTTAATGAGTAAAAGTGCTGTTTTGATATTGCAAATGTGATATTGATTTTATACAACAGTTCAATCAACGATAAGTTAATAGGCAGCTTACATTTTAGACACAATATTGTTTTTCCTTTAATTAGCCAATGAAAATGGTCCCAAACAGTAGAGGCATTGAGCAACAGCTTCGGTTTCGCTACTGAATGAACTCTTTTAATGACTCACTCAGTCCCTGAATGAATCAGTCGTTTTGAACGAATTGTTTGAATGATTCAATGACTCACTTGTTGAGACCGTGATTTGCCGCCCCCTACTGGCGGGTTTAGTGTTATGTCATTTTATCTGAGGGACAAAGATTAAATGCTGTTTTTGTTTTCTGTATGATTGTAACAATACTGTACGGAAGCGTATTGCATTCACTTGAGGAAAAAAATCTACTCTGTTTTTCTGAATTAACGAGTTAATTATCTCAGAATTACGAGGTAATTTTTCATGGAAAAAAGTTTTTGCCCTGTTTTTCTGAATTAATGACTTAATTATCTCAAAATTATGAGTAATTCATTAATTCATAAAAACAGAGTGAAAAAAAATGTTTTTCAAGAAAAATTTCTCTAATAATTCTGAGAAACCAAGAAAAATAATTTAAAAAACTGGATGTTTTGAACGTTCAGAGTAGATTACACTTATAATGAAAATACTTGCTTGTTTTGTTTAACCTTTCACCTTATGTTTTCTATCCTCAGTTTCAAAGCAGTGAATCATTTGCAAAGCAACAGATTAATTTGATTTAAAATTTCAGAAAGCCTCCCTTCAGCCATCACTCACTATTCATAACCACACAATACTTTTGGTCTTAAGTGTACATCTCTTATTTCATTATTTCAAATCAAACAATCACTCACTTTTAAGCGCTCTACTCTTCGATTCATTCATAACGACACTCACCTTGAAATCAATTTCACCCATAATCACGCTCTGATTGGATAATGCAAGCTCCGCCCACTTGTCCTGCACCAATGAGAACATACACTCATTGATCTCAGCTGATCGGGAGGTTTCTCTTCTCTTTACCTGTCTGTCTTTCTTCCCTTTGGTTTATGTTGATAAATGCTTCCCTCTGAGATCTCACCATCTCTTCTGGGTTTATATGGTGTAGTTATATTGGAAGACTGCAGGAAGTGTGGTGATCGAGACACTAGAGGGCGCCGTGTGTCTTCATCACAAACAGACTGATGAGAAATATACAAGACTCAGAACTATCAGTCATTTATAATAAGCCTGAATCTACGCCATAATAAATACAGAAAATATAACATGCAGGCAAATCACACTCTAAATAATAAGCGTTTTAAATGTTAATCCTAGTTTTAGAGAACATTGAAATGTAACAAATGTCATAGAGAACCTTTTTAAGTTCAAAGCCCACAAAGAAGCTTTAAAATCCCAGTTGTTTCTCCAGCGAGATGA